ACATCCCAAATATATAATAGATATTATATATAAATATATATATATCGAAGTTAGTAAAACAAGTAAGTTCAGAAACGTCAAAGATCACGTGATATGTTGACAAAGTAGTGAAAATCGGTTCTCGTAGCTCGGGTGAACTGAATTCTATTTCGCCTATTTGCCGAGCAATTTGGCAATTAGTTTGCAAACATTTCATCACCAGCCGAGGTGATATCATCTGTGCTTGTGAAGTGGCCACTTCGCCATAGCTGGATTCTTTGTTTTGTCAGTAGTGTCACGTGGGTAGAGCTCCTGGTCAACGTGGTTTACTCAAATTGAACTCAACAAGAAACGGGTTGTATGCCTTTTGATCAACCGCGGTCGTCGCAGGAACAGACCATACTTTCTACTGCTCCCAGTATTTTTATGTCATAAAATCACCCAGACTAGTCTATCGCTTAGTGGGGTTCTGAATCGTACACAAGAGCGTCCCTGTGTGTGTTAGCTCCTTACGTGACCCATTGGTCCTTGTCCAGGTGTTCTTGAGTGTGTGTGTGTGCACAACATGATGATTAAGTCAGATTTGATGTCACATGGGTCCACACGTGCGTACCACGTGTCGTATCTCCCACGAAACATCTAGAGCTCGCGCGACATTAAGGTATGGGACACTTTGCATAAGTCACGTGTGTGCAAACAAAACTGAGGGCTCCAGATTTTGGGGTCTGATGCACCACCTGGTTTGGTGGGCATATTTGCACAACAGCCGGAATACTGAAAGTATTTGTTTTCATATTGGCATGGGTGATGATGGTGACGAGGATGATGTTCATCATCATCATGACAAGGTTCAGTATACATTTTCAAATGATTTTTTTTCAGTTTGTGACCATGGATGAGTAACATAGAGCAGCCGAAAAAACTGAATTCACGACCCAGCTGATCTGTGGAACATTGGCTGTAGTCAACAGTCCATGTCGATTTACACTTGGATTTGAATTACTTTTCTCAGTATTTTTAGTCTAGTTGTTGTCGTCTTCGTGATTATTAAAGCTGCATTTTTGGGGAACACCTTGCTGCATTTCTTTAAACTGTATCTGATTCTGCATCTCCATATGCATAACATTTTACTGATTAGTTCAATCACCTCAATCGCTCGAATAACCATCTATTTTCAAATACTTTTGTCCTGCAGATCCCTGTTTCATTAAGATGCCTTTTCGTCAACGGTTAGTTGGTTATTTCAAGCAACCAAGGTCATCAGTCACAAAACACAACCGTTATTCATGGACCGATCACATTTATTTCTACATTAGATATAAACACGCACACTGTAAAAACCTGAAGATGATATAACGAAAAAGAGCTTGTCCGTTAAATTGTTTAGCTTTTGACATTATCATTAATTTTTCTCCTATAAATGCCCACCACTTTCACCGTTAAAAAAATTAAAAAATCCCGCCGTTTGCTTGCAGAAATCGGAAGGAACTTTGAAAAGGAACCGTTAACATAGAAGTCAAATGTTCCACTATCGATTAATGGCTTTTCTGCAGAAACAAGGAAATTTCAAGTACGCCCGACGCTTTTCATAATCTTAAGTAGTTGGTTTATGAGTCAGACACGAGGCAAACCAGATAATGAATGATTTGCTAATAATCCAGTAGTTTCCAGCGCATAGATCGTAACAGTAAAGAATAAGGTGGTAGGTGAATCCGATGTGATTTATTCCACAGATCTCAATCATTCCAGTATTTTCACCATCCTTTAGCCTCGTATGACGGACGGAAAACTAATTGCGTCAATCAGTAGATTAATTGATCGATTGTAAACAGTCCTTTGCGTGTGGTCACGTTAGTCACGTGACGTGAAGAATTGGACAGTGGAAGGGCAAACTGGTTTGAGCAACGCTCAAAAATGTAATAAGAATAAGAATAACAAATTACCAGTAGATCGTGATTCCGGTCAACGAGAAACCGACCCACGGAGCCCCAATCACTTAACCCGGGTATCAAAAACGTAGAAAGGAATTGGTGTTCCACCATTTCCAAACAGTCATGCGGTACTATAACGCATAGCTGTAGTAGCTGAATATCGTTTAAATAAAACAGACGTTTTCTCGTGACACGCATCAGCCTAACTTTAATCCTACGGTTTGATTGNTGATCGGATAGTGTAACCAATTATCGATGGTCGATTACGGTTACGATGATGGTACACCTCAGTAACAACCAGTGCTTTTCCTCACGAGATTGACTAACTTATCTAATGCCACGCACGGACAGATAGATTCCGATTTCTATGGTAGAAAGCTTGGATTAGCCCATTCAATTATTAAGAGGCGCGAGGCGCTCTTGGGTGTCAGTTTCACTCTGTGGTAGTTCGTTAATTCCCCACAAGTTCATGCATTTACATGTGATGGAAATGTTTGTGATAAACGACAAAGAGCATTGGACAGCTGTTTCGCCTTGTTTGGGACTCATCAGTAGTGCGTAACTTTTGTGTCCCTGTCAGAAGTGCTATGATGAATGGGCTAATACATGTGCTTGACTGATAACTGATGCAGTATATAAGACATTCATTTTCAGTTTGTGTGATTAAATAGCGTCCGCAAAGGGAAAGCCTTCTACTGTCATATTCTTACAACCGGACGGACATTTGAATCACAGCTTACACCTTCTCAGAGGATAAGTATAGGAACGATTTAACAAACGAGTACCCGAAAAGCATTCTCGTTGTGTGAAAACTGCACAGTGATACACCGATTATCCTTATATTTAAAACTAACACAATAATCATCAAAAATAATACAGAATTGTATGTCATGCCAGACAGAAAGAAAAACTTCCACATAATCATCCATTAATTTGTATAAAGATATCATGAAGAAAGTGCTTTAAAAACTGATATGGAATTAGCCGTTGTAACACTACTGTCCCCACGGTTCCATAGCTCAAACACGTCTTGGGGTTCTTATTTTCGATTCTAGATCACTCTTTACATTTAATATCAGGTCCACCAAATCAAGTGTAACCATTAGCAAAATTCTAGCATATTACCGGTTAGAAATAATGAGGCTGCTACAAATTGAGGCATCGGCAATTCCGGTACACTAGTCGTTAGTCGCAGAATAAAAATGTTCTCGATTTGAGTACTGCAATGCGCTCTAGAGTTATTTCAATTCTGTTTCTGGATTCCATTGAGTCACCCATCTTGGGATCAAGATGAGAACCTTTTAGACAGACCGCAACTGTACTGGTAGCTGGCAGAACCAAATAGCGTTGGTATCTTTCGATTATCCGTGCTGAATCAGTGCTATGCCGGCTGGTCTGCTACTATACGGCCCAATATTATGCGTGACCTTATAAGTCCTCTTGCGTTTGGTTACTCCAGCCCTCAGGTCCATTACCATTACCAAAATATCTACTCAAGTGGCTTTGAAATTCATACCTTTCAGTGATTCCACCAAACTGTCATCTCTTCGGCGCCCGCTAAAGTTTGTTCCTCCATGAACTCTGCAACTCAACTCTTTTCGGTTTATTCCTTTTGGGCAAAATTCGTTAATGTGCTAATTGTTACCATATTGTCACCATACTGCTTCGATTCGAGAGAACTTTGAGATGAGATGAGATAACACAGGTCAAACAGCTTTCTCACAACAGTTCCAGCGAACGAAATGATGTCATACCTATATTGAAGTTCAAACAAAATCAATCTAGCGAACTAATTGCTTTTTTATCTATGAATTCCAACTGTGAACTAAATGAGTTAGTGTGCTTACTAGTGTTCGTGACAGCGTCAGTTTTATACGCAAAACTTTCGGTTTTAAAACGATGAAGATTTCATCCGGAGTGTAATTTGACTTGCCTCGTTTTCCTAAAACTCAGTTCCTCCTTTATTTGTTACAAACATGATGGACAACGATACTGAACTTTCACTCGTCAGTTTACGAGTCTACAACTAGTTGTTGCATGTGAAATGCTATCCCAGCTACAGCATTGCCGACATTCCAAAGGGTTCACTGTGTCTATGACATATATATATATATATATATATATGTAATACAAAAAAGGGAACATGATTCGAAGTGACTTCTGGAACTGAGTTTACTCGTGTGCTGGATCATGGTTACACGGGAACTTCCTCTGTCTCCTGCAGCACTCAGCCTTAAACGAGGAGTGTAACATAATGAAATCGGTGAGGTTTTGTTCCCTTGACTGGGGGTCATGGCTTAAATCAATTCCAATCACAAACATCTTTGCCCGAATTCCACGGCTTAAATCCACGGTCAATAATCAAATTCAGTGGTAAATAATTTCTTTGTGGTCCAGTTCCCGGTATTACAATCATGCATTTCAAATTTCTTCCAACAATAATGATTTTACTAACACCATACAGAGATCTTCATCTTAGTTTGAAATGAAAATTGAGAATGAAGCCCCATAAAACACGATGTGTCACGTGTGACCTTGAGGCGAGTCGCTATGTAGACTGAAGGAGGTAGCGATTAGATTCAGAACACTGGTCAAGGAATTAGAATAACAGATTTTCAGTGATTTATCACCAATTCATTGGGTTTCCCAACGGTTTTGTTCACTAGTCTGAACTCTCATCTTTATCATACGTAATAATCGAATTTCAGGTGCATTCCAATCAATGTAGTAATGGGAAGCCGCATCTTAACTAATGCTACATGTCTCAGCTCGCAGCAGTGATGTTTTCTCCTCTGCTGGAATCTAACTCGTTGTTAGTTGCAGGCCTGTGTTAGGGTGCGTTTATCTCTTTCAGGAACATTTGTTCACCTCTGTTATGTCTTTATGACAGTCATTCACTTTTCTCTTCCCGATGCTAAACAATTGCTCGCCTTTGTCAGAACATGATTAGTCAGTGAGAAGTTAGGACACCAAATGAATGAAATTTAATACGGGTGATGTAAAAGTTCCTACCACGCTGGACTGCAATCCAGCCTCATAATCAACAGCTATTTTTGGTATACCGTATATTATTGTAGGCAACAAACTTACTGCTTTCATTGGTATCAAATCCGCGGATTGTAACTCAGAGGCTTCCAATTCGGACGGTTTCATTTGGTGCACGGTTTTCTGTGGCAATCCGGTTTGGGGTGTGTACAAGATATTGAAGTGTGTTAATGAAGTTCAGCTCCGGAAATCGATTATCTTCGAATCACTCTGATCAATTACGTTCTCGACTGTTTCATGCACCAATTGGTCGATTTGCTTCAGAGCTTGTTACCGATCCACACCACTCTGTCGACAGCAGGTTTGCCGCAATCTGTCTCAAACCAGACGTTCAAGATCACAACCAATTCTGTGTGCACTATGGTCGATGTGAAACCAAACAAGGCAGACAAACCCCGCAGCAGGAGGGAACAGGCTCAGTCGCAAGTGGTCTCATGTTTGGGTTGGGTGGGATGGGATGGGGGTTAGGATGATCCACCCCTGACACCTGTGTTCATCTGATTGGTCCACTATAGTTTCATCTTCATCCCGCACACATCCTTCCCTGCCCACATTGACACGGCTCAGTCAGCTGAATCGGTGTGCTTGATGGCAAAATCACGTGTGCTTGTTCGTTGTGTTAGTGATGATTCAATGGGACACGTGGAAGAAACCGAGTCTAACAACCATCACCCAATAGATGGCCAATGCCAATCCTCTGATCCTCCCCCCTCCTCCCTCGCACCACTGAACGCATGGACAATGGTGATTGTGGGGAGTTCCGTTTGCCGTCGGCAGTGGTCGCGGCGATAGTGTTCATGCCGGGTTCGTGTTGAGATGAAACTAGAACAGGGGCGGGGGCAGGGGCAGGAACGTTTGGGGTTTTGGATACGGATTGAGTTAGCAGCGGTCCGTAATCATGTTCTTGCATGATGCGGGTTCTTGTCCGGGGGCATGGGCATGATTGCGCCAGAATGCACACCCGGCCACTAGTGCTCACACACACACACACACACACACACACACACTCGCCACACAAGCAAAGCTTGCACAATCGAAACAAGCTCGTGGTGATTGCGGACCGACACATATGTAGATCTACTCAGCAATGGGAACACCAACAANGGACAGACGAACAAAGAGGACCAAAACGTGCATGTGGTGATCGAAACCCTCGGATTTTTGTTAGACAGATGTGTGCTTATGTAATTCCCTTAAACTATGGATGCTACACAGGCCATGTGCGGACCGCTATATCACCTTATTGTATTCCGCCAGACAGTTTTACCCATGGGAAGGAATTCTGCGATGCTCCAAATTCTTTCCTCATCATATACAATCGTGTTTATAAACCGATTCATACTGTCTCCAGGTATACCGTCTTCAGGTTACATGCAGCGATCAAACTCATGAGACCATTGTATTTTTGAATGAGAGCATAGGACGATTTGATTCAATTTCATAGAGTGATTTCGTTGTTTATAGAGAGAATTAACCTTGAGGTCCCGGTCT